GGGGGGGGGGGGGACTCAAGACTACCTGTTGCGAAAACCTTAATGTATCATTTTGGTGGGGAGGGATGACTTGTGGCAGTTGGTGGGGATACCTCCCAGGCTTGCCCCATGAGAAATACTCTGTGCTCCTGTAGTGAGTGGTGTGAGTAGATGGGGATTGCAATTCTTTCGACCATTAAAAAACGTGCCTTACAGCACAACGCGCAAAAGTAAGACCACATTCAGTGTTTGCGCATACTTCTTTGCACGGGTTCTGTACGTTAAACCAACACATTTTGATGCGAAGCTGGCTGGTTTTACCAAATAAGGCGTGCAAACGCTCATTTGGCAGCTGAAAAGCCCATGGCATTGAAATGTGCGAATACATTAAATGTGGTCATACTTTCGCACATCGTACTGTAAAACTGCCAAGCCAAAATCCCATGCCCAAAGTGGTCCAAGTATACTGATGATATTTGTCCTTGATTCGTCACCAGATGACCGTTATCAAAAGGAGATTGAAGCAGCCTGGGAACAACAGGATGATGACGATGATGCAGGCAGCCTTAACTCCCTGGAAAGCTACTAGACGTACCTTCCAACAACAGAAATCTAATGATCTGAAAGTCTTAAGCTTAACTAAAGCACTCACTTCGGCCATTTGTAGAACTGGTTTGATTATATATGTTTATATATGTAATCTATAACTGACCGCTGACCATTGTCAGAGGGCTCATTCATCGTTTTAAGTAATTTGCTTGTTCTTCTAAGTATACATAACTATTAAGACTAGATAAGAATAGCCTAAGAATTAGCTATCTAAGTTTGAGGCAAAGCTTGGGTCGAGTTTACATTGCAGTGTAAAACAAATTCGAAGTAAGAAAATCGTATATGTAATCGTTATAGAGCAGGTGCGTGTTACGTTGTTGCCGCCATCTCGGTTGACGATAACAAAGCATTCTTCATTAGCTTATCTTGTTAGATCAACCAAGATTGCAGCTGTTTCATAGTTATTCATATCTCGCAAAGAATTTTGAGTCGCATGGTTGCACACACTATATAGAAAGAAAAAGAGGGTAAGATTCTATTGTTTTAGTTTGCAATTTTTGCAATCGTATGGCATAGATCCATAGATCGGATGGGGTACTGGGAAAGACGGGGGGGGGGGGTGTGTGGTTGGTTGGAGAGATTATGACAATATCATATCATAAAAAGCGTCAATAAAATTATCTTCAGTCTTAAGAACTTTATTGAAGGATTAATTTACCACACATTGCCATAATGTATATACCTGTGCCGGTGCGATCCTTCGTTCAATATGTCCCAGAAATAACTTTACCTAAAGTTTCTTTGAGGCTGGTTAATAGGTTTACTGCCTTAGAATTAACGGCTACCGAACTCCCTCCTGACCCGCCAGCACCACCAGAAGAATTGCGACTACCGCTGTGCTCGATGACAAAGCCGAACAGGTCTACACAGACTTGACCCTGGTTGTCTGTTTCGGACCAGTTCTTCAGGTCTTCACCGTACCAGATCTTCAGCTGCATCATATGGTGAAGGTAAAGGGGAGTGTCAAAGTCGCTGAATACGATGGCGTCTGAGTGCTTGGAGTCCTGTGCGGGAAGGTAATACCTATGTGAAGGGAAAAGATTTATGTTTAAAAAAACCGTCTCCTTGTTTTTACGAGAGTAACACTTAATAGCCAGTAGCTAACAAACCTGTGGCCCTCGTTCCATGATTAAATTGGAATTTAGAAGTTGATTTTTATGGATCGTTACGCGGCAACAGAAAGCTCGCGTATATGCAGCTATTTTAAAAACGTTTTGTAAAGATTTTGTTACATGTACGTTCATACCCAGCTTGAATACCATCAACGAAAGGTCATAACCATATGAAATTTCCCTAAACTTTGCGCGTTTTTCAGACAATTTATTTTTGTCCAACATATTTACACGAATATGATAAGCAGCATATACAACAAAATCTAGTTCACCAACCTTTCTTGGCTGTATATATCGCAAGCTTAAAATAGTATAGTTATACAACAAAATAAAGTTTTGGTGGACGTCGGGCAAAGTGTTTCCATGACATTGTCAGAAAACACAAAGGGCGCATGAATTGTCATGGAAACGCCTTGATTGACGTCCACCAATCCACCAACTTCCTTCGTCGCGATCGATGACGATTCCGCGCGTTCTATTGAAAAGCATTGTAAAGATACGTGAATTGAATATTTCAAATGCGTAACAAAAAATAAAAAGCAAATGACATGGTTTTCGTCCTACCACAAGCCACTCGTGTGCTTGATGTACTGGTTCAGTGGATAGAGGATCTTGTCTTTTCCGTCGGTAACGATGACATTGAAGGGATAACTGCGGAACGAACTGTAGTGATGACATCCCCAGCGACTGTCGTAAGCCTGGTCAGAAACACATCGAATGGTGCCAGACTTCCACTTCAGTTTCAGGGCACCCAATACCATGCCAGGTCCTGTGTACATTAACTGTCCAGGCCGGTTACCTCTTCCTTCGAAACATACTGGGATTCGGTTTAGTTGAGTCCATCTTCCTTCGACTACAGAGTAGATAGAATATTAACATAGATAAATGTTGTTGAATTTTTATTTTTTTCAAATTGAATCATCGATACACGGCTGAAAAAACCTAAAAAAAAGTTCAACGGCAAGTCAAGGCTAACTCGCAGATTGAATTGGAATTTAGCGTGTTAGGTTTTGCCAAGAGAGCATAAATTGCCGGATGTTCTCTTGATTTTGCGGAGAGAAGGAAACCGGAGACCCCAGGAGAAAAACCCTCTCGAGAACCAAGAAAGAGTACTAACATTCTCGAGTGAAATACAGCAATTCCCAATTTTTTCTATAAGAAAATGTGCAGAGCAATCTTTGAAATAAAAACTTCTCTTGTCTTTAGTCATCTTTCTTCTTTTTCATCATTTGATTTATTTTTATTTTTCGTTTGTGAAGAAGAAGAAGAAGAAGAAAATAGAAGAAAGGGTCGGAGGAAGGAAGGAAGGAAAGAGGTAACGAGGCCCCGCATCTAGGAAGGCAAACAATGTGAAAAGAAAGAAAGAAGAAGAATGAGAAAGAAAGCCGGAAAAAAACGACTCACCTATACATGTATGAAGAAAGACAACCAAGATAAGCCCAAAACTAATGCGTATCCCATACATGATCCTGGACGCCTTGAATTTCCTTCAACACTGCGCAAAATTTCGTAACTTCGACAGAAAGATAACCAAGGGCGAATGAAGAAAAAAACCCGAAAAACCAATTAAACCTCTGTTTACCATACTATATTTTCCAGAGTGTATAGAGTGAAATATTAAAATCAAATATTTCATAATAATTTTCTAATATCACAATTAGTTAATCTACTAAACAAACTTTTTCTAGCACATTTCTTCTAGTGTTATTTCGCTAAAAACCACATGTCTTGCAAATCTCATAAAAATAATCCAAATATTTGACGATAACTTAATTCGAACACGGAGACATTTATTTAAGAAAAAGATTGATTTTTAGTTATTTTTTATTACGAAAATATAAGAGTGTCATTGCGATCTTAATGCACTCTACAAAATTACTCGATTCTGATTGAACAAGAGGAATACAATTAAATCCCAAATTGTACTCTGTAGAGTCCCAATTTTTGCTCAACGTTTTTGTGTGTATTATAAACAAAAAATCGCACGATCTTCTCGTACAATTCGGCGGAATTTATAGATACTCGTGATGATTTGATGACTCGTACCTATAAATTCCGAATTGTACTCGAGATCGTGCGATTTCCCGATACAAATTCGGTTCAGTGAGAGTTGAGTACGGTACGTGTCGCAACAACCAAACGATGAAATCTTAGTATCCCCACCTTATTTTTGTTTAATAACAAGCAATTGCTTAATGAAAGCTTCAGTAAACTCGACTTGACTAATGACTGCATGGGACAATTATTAAAAAATCTCTTTTTCATTTTAGTTTTAATTTATTTGACAACTTCTCGTTCGAACAGGTTCTTCTAGGAAGACTTCAGCTCTGGTCATTTTCTTAGGATATTGTTAGGCGATCGAACATGGGAAATCAGTTTCATCGAGAACTCCCAAACTTGAATTGCACCCATGAGATTAGAAAACGAGTGGTCATTATATCTAAAACACAATGAACGATTTAAAACAGAATTAATAAATAATAAGCCAATAATCTTGTAAATACCAAAATAAACAATTGACTTTTGATTTATTAAAACACTGTCTTGCTAATCAAAGCTTGCAAACAAACTAATTGATTTTGACACATATCGGACTGATAATATGATAAAGGTAAGTATTCACACATCAAATAACCTGAAAATTGACAATATTGTCTTTTAACTGCCGCTAGGTTTTCCAGCAGGCACTTTTCACTCTGTACTCAAAGGAATTTCATTTGAGTTTTATCGGCGTCGTCCTCCTTCTCCTTCTCCTCCTCTTCCTCCTCCTCCTTCTCCCTCCCCTTCTCCCTCTCCCTCTCCCTCTCC